TGCTCAGGGGATTCAAGGCGTTATAATTAAACAATCATTTGATAGGTAAAAGTTCAAGGGAACTGAAATGTCCTAAGATTTGCTCATGAAGTTGAAAGAAACTATTAAAGATCACAAATGTGGTAAGGCATGTTTTGAACCATATTATTGTGATGGGGAAGTATACAATTATGTTATCACAATTGTCATCTACAAGGTAAATTTAGCAATTAGAATTCCATATGCAATCCTAAATCATATACTATGTATGGCTTAATTGGTCTGATCAATTGTGTATTATTTAGGAGTGCATAAGGAAGTTTAAGTTGAATCTATCCTTAAGAATGGTAAGTGTTGGCCTATTGTTACCGTAGAGGAATTAAGGGATTAAGGTTACCATGCCTTTTTATCTGCCTAAAAACACAAAGAAGGGTTTGACTAAATCAATAGCTTCTTCTAATGGTGTATTTTCTAAAATATCTGCATGGGAAACTATAAAAAACCATTATCTAGTGGCTATTTGGTCTCAATTATTGTGGTTTAAAAAAGTTATTCCAAGCTGGACCTTTATCTTACGATTGACCATTGAAGAAAGCTAAATAGACATAATTTCAAAATAGGTTGTTTTGAAAGAAACAAAAACATTAGGTGCACTTGGAATTGTTAGGGCATAATCCCTAGGGTGACAGATCAACTAGTGCAAGAAAAAATTTAGGGTCTTCTTCTATCTTGACCTATAAGGTTTTGATCCTAGAAATCTCACATTTTATGCTCAAATATGCAATGTTACACTTTGCTGATGAACTCATTAATATCTATCACTTACATCCCTAAACCTCATTGTATAATGTCTTCCAGAACAGAGGCTTTCAATATGTGTGTTATTTCATTACAGATTTTTAAACAAAGATCCTATCACTAAGCTCACAATGAATAGATTTCTTCACCCTCTTAACACCCTTTTCTGATTCGATTCTCTCTTTCTTTCATTCAAAGATACACAGTTGGCTAGTTGAAAAAAATGATCAATCCTCATATGGTCACATGTTTATTAGTAACATTTCATTTTTTTTTTTGAAAAAATGATGATTCTTGACCTTCCAGTTTTGCCACAATCTTGAAGAATTATGGTAGAAAAGCTTGACACACATTTTGCAGGTTGTTCATAGCCATTTTGTATGTTAGAATTTATCGGGCAACTATTTTCCATGGTTCACCAACATTCTGTTTGATTAATATTTGGAAGGATATCACATACCACTCCTTGTACATCAAGAATAGTTGTGCTCTGATCAATGTGTTTTTTTGCTGAGATAGAACAGGCTAAGAACTTATTAATAAATGCCCTCTTAAACATGTTTACTGCTTGTTAATTTTTATGGTTTGCATTGTGAATGTTATTGCACAAGTTCATGAATATTGATTCTTTTTTATCAGATGTCAATAGACCCAATCGAGGCGGAGGTAAATGCAGTAGGTCTCGTGGTGGAAAATAATGCACATGATGATCGTATTACTAGGGTTGAAATATCCAACAAGTGGTCAACATTTAGATTGAATTTGACAAACAAAATGTTTGATGAGTGGAGAGCAAGTAGACAAAAAGTGTAATTTTTATACTTATATTTGAGAATAATTTTGTTTCTTGAAATTCTAACTCCAATGCTATTGAGAGGAAATGAATGGAATTTAAGAATTCATGTTTTTATTCAACTTGTTTTTGTTTTCTGTATACTGTTGATTTTTTTTGGACTTACTTTTCATTGATTTATTTTTTTGTTCAACCTACATGTTCGGATAAGATTCCTAGTTATCTTTTTGGGTTTCATTTGAAATGAATGACAATTTTTGAATATTTTTTGATTTTGATTTTGATTTCATTTTGTGAACCTATTTTTGAAGGAATTAGTTTTCTAATTTTTTAAAATTTATAGGGGTTTAATTTTTTTCAATGGATTCTTATTTTTTTTAATTATAAATTTTTTTATACAACTTTGAAAGGCAATCACAATCATAAAAAAAAATTATTATTAATTATTTTTATTCACTATGGATATTTTGGTTAAAGTTGATTTCATTCCAATAAAAAAATTGTTTTATCCAAACATAAGAATGAAATATTAATCTTTCCATTCCAACACTTAATTCTAAATAGGTGCCAAACATTGAAATGGTAATGCACATTCCATTCCATTTATAAGTTTATTGCATTCCTAAACTTATTTCATTCATATTAAAAACATTACCACGTATTAAACACAACGTAAGAGTAATTTAAATAGTGCATGTGTCCTTCGCATAAATCAATCAAAGTTGCTTCGTGTTACTATTGGTCATTTCTAGAGATTAGGACATTTATACTTCATTGAATATGAATTATTGTCTAAGTCTCTTCCACTTGGATATGGTTCGATGACTTACATTAGAACTTTAATTATGTGCGCTAGACCATCACTAACTCCAAGGTAGAGTCAAACTTGTTTCTTGGGTTCTAGTAGCCTTACGTGACTCAACAACATTAGTGATTTGTGAATTTAACCTTAGGATGTATATCCTCTTATCTTTCAAGAAAAGAAAAGAAAAGAAAAGAGAAAAGAGAAAGGAAAAGAAAAGAAGACAAAAGAGAAAAAAAATATATGAAAAAAAAATGACAAAATAAGTTGCTTGTGTGAATTATGTTTAAAAACCAAAATGAAAATTGAAGTTAAAGGCATACGAAAGTAATTAGTGTTGACCAAAATAGATTTTGTCCCACTTTTGTAGACAGAGAATGTTTGAAAAAGAAAAAGTTTAATTATATACACACACATACTAGTTCAAAAAAGAAGTATATACACATCAAGTAGGATCTTACTTCTTTATGTGACAAGATGTTTACGAATTCAAGTAGAAATTTATTAAATCTTTCAACAAGGAATTCATGCAGAATTTTTTTAACCTTTTACTGTGGGTACCAAAATATTTTCAAATATAGATGCACATATTCACCAAACATATTTTCAATTATAGATGCACTTCTTAATTTAAAAGTACTCCTAAAATGGACGTTCACCAAACACTTTATAGTCCATCTTAAAAGGTCCATTTTATAAAGTTCATCCCTAAAATGAACTTTTTGTTTTGATTAGTTTCATCAAATGTAACCAAAGTGATTGAATGGTTCGGTAGTAAGGGTTCACTATTGCTTGCAAGTAGGTCTGTTCACCCGAGCTAATGGGTAGGAATTTTTGGATTCCATATTTCAAGCCAATGAATTGCGAAAGACTATTTTTTTGACCGATCTTACCCAATTAACGGTAATATTTCAAACTGAATTCTGTTTGAAAAATTAGCTCAGAAGGTCGGATAGAAATGTGAAATGCCTCACAAATGTTTAAATTTTAAGTTATTAATTTTTAGGTCATTTTAACAACTCAATTACTAAAATTTTGTGCTACTTTTACAATTAAACTATCAAAATATAATATAAAAGATATGTAAACTAACACAATAAACTAATAAAATTAAAAAAAACACAATAAATTTGATTAATATGTTCTATTATAATCTAAAACACCATAAATAACATATAATCACAAGTTATATATTTCCTAAACGATATTGTTTTATGACAAACAAAACGACTTTGTTTTATAACACACATATTAATTTTTTTAAAAAAAATTAAATATACATGCAGGTAGGAATGCAAAAATTTTATAAGTATTTCATATTCTTACCTAATATTTACAAATTATTAAAAAAAAACTTCTATTAGCCGACCAAAAAAATATAAAAATTGACTTATCGTATAGGATATAATCAAAATATTATAGAACGGATTGGATGGACGGAATTTTAAACGCCCATACTTGCAGGTGAGTTCTGACCAAAAAATATAAAAATACTTGCAGGTGAGAAAATGAGGTGAGTGAGTGGTGTTGTATTAACTTCATCCCCTTCTCCTTAATACTACACAATGTTAAGTTTCTAATTAACAAAATACGTCGAATACAGGAAAATAGGACCCACACACCTGTGATGCTCCTCTAAATTCGAAACCAAAGACAGAGCGCGAAAACTCAAGTATATCTTTTAAATGCTTTAACCAAGACTACATGAACTCTCACCAGTCACAGACGCTCCTTTTCTTTCTCTCTCTGTTAACGGGTAAGGCTTTCTCGAACTTTGCTCGAGTTTTTCCTGTATTGAGATTTCTTCTTTCGAAATTATTTATTCTTATCATTTGCCTTTCAATTTGAACTTTTTCTATAGTTTAATGCAGTTAATATCGCTTTAAATTCGTTGTTTTCGAAGTAAAAAGTAGTATACCTTATTATTGCTGGCATTTTTTTTTGGAACTTTGTGCTTCTTGAAGTTTTACCAATTTTCGCTCTCAGGTCTTGTTTTTCTTTCATTTTTTGCAGAAAATTTTCATTTCCAGTAAAATGTCAATTTTAGGGGCGTGCTTTCTAGGGTTTCACTTCGACGAAGGCATTAAGTGCCGACAACAGATTTAACCGTAAGCGTTTTGGAATATTTCTCTTGTTTTTTATTTTCCTATATTTTCTCGGCAACTAAACAGAGTACATTGTTCCTCAGTTTTTAGGATTTTTCTTTCTTACTTTCTTTAATTATATTTGTGCGTATTGGCATCTGTATAAGCTTGAAGTCATGAATTTAATAATTAGTTAAAATTTTGATGGCCGCTAAAGGGAATGCTCTAATTTCTGAATTTTCATAACAATCAGAATGAGCGTTAAAATTTTCTGCAATTTTTATTTTTTATAATTATTCAAGATTTGTTGGGTGTCTGAAGAAACTGAGTAAAGGAGAGAAAATGAAAGTTTTGCTTCTATTTAGTATAGTGTTTGTTTCTCTTAAATTTCAGATGTAAATTTGAACCCTTGACTGTCTTTTACCCCTTCAATTATACTAGTATGCAGTTCTTTGTCAACATGCTTCAGTTGAAATTTGAAGGGCAGCCAGTGTCATGGATTTTGAAAGGAAGTTCGAGAGCAAAGACATAAGTTTCTAAATAACTGGGGATTAGTAGAGGAGTACACAAGATGAGGACGCAAGTACCCTTGAAAGCGAAAGGAACTACTCGAGTTAACAATCAACAGGTGGTTTTTGATCTTAAACAGCGTGTAGTTCTTGCATTAAATAAGCTTGCAGATAGGGATACTTACCAGATTGGGGTTGAGGAGCTCGAAAAAACAATCAAATGTTTAACTCCAGATGGGGTTGCCCCCTTTTTATCTTGCATATTGGATACTGATTCAGAGCAGAAGTGTACGGTTCGTAAGGAATGTATTAGACTAATGGGTGTATTAGCAAATTTCCATGAGGGCCTTATTGGTCTGTACCTAGGAAAGATTGTTGCTAGTATTGTTAAAAGGCTCAAGGATACGGATTCTGTTGTAAGGGATGCATGTGTGGAGGCAGTAGGTGTTCTGGCCTCTAAGTTAAGCGTTGGTGAGGGGGTAAATGATGGAGTTTTTATTGTGTTAGTAAAGCCTCTTTTCGAAGCCTTGGGCGAACAAAACAAGCAGGTGCAGTTTGGTTCAGCACTGTGTTTAGCCCGGGTCATTGACAATACCCATGATCCGCCAGTTTCAATTTTGCAGCGGATGTTGACAAGAACTATTAAGTTGCTCAAGAATCCACACTTCATGGCAAAACCAGCAGTCATTGAGTTGAATAGCAGTATCATTCAGGTCAGTTTTTCCCTGATGAACATGAACAGTACAGTACGATTTGCTTGTCTATATACGTTTATATCTTGATTTAGTAATTTCAGTCTTGCATGGCCCAGCAAATGTACCTAGAAAACATTATTTAGACTGCATATACATTTGCCAGATCTGTTAATGTATGTCTAAATATCTATCCCTTAAATTCAAGTTTTCAGTTTTTCATTTTGTATGCATTGTATTTCAGCAGTCAAAAGAATAAGAGGCTCATATGCTGGGCATTTTCAGTGTTCTTTGTTTATCCCATGCTGATTATGTTTTCTTCACTGAGCTTGACCAACAAAATTTGAATTAAATGTTTGAGATAATGTACCGTTCTGAGAGTACTACTTTCATTTTTTGATGCATTTAATTGTATTATAACACACACAGTTACTTATGTAATTGTTTCAGGCGGGGGGTGCCCTAACGCAAAATGCTTTATCTACTGCGATGACTAGCATGCAAGAAGCTCTCAAGAACAGTGACTGGATGACACGCAAAGCTGCTTCTGCATCATTAGGGCACATTGCTGGTGGTGGTGGATCTTTCTTTGGTTCTTTCAGGTCTTCTTGCATTCGTTCCCTTGAATCATGTCGCTTTGACAAGGTTAGAGTTAATCAGCATTTAAATGTGGAGAAGCTTCCATGTCACAATTAGTTAAGCTGGATGTATTACATGCTTCTTGTGTTCTACACAGGTTAAACCTGTTAGAGACACAGCACTGCAAGCCTTACATCTATGGAGAAGTCTCCCAGGGCCTGATACACCTGAACCATCTGAAGCTGGATCTTCAATCAAAGGTTTGGTGGCTCACCCTATTTTTCAAAGTGTCAAAGTAGTAGCTGCACTTGCTTAACACTTGTACACAGACACATATTCTGAATGTTCTTTTCATTCTCTGGATTTTGTAGTGTAGCTAGCTTTTATAATCTCTGTGTACCTTTCAAATGGTTGTTGTCATGTTTGTTTGTTGACATGTTGTTTCATCTGGACCGGTTTAAATTATTATTGTTTTTTGATGTCTGTGGGGTTGTAATCATATAGAAAAGCCAGATACCTGAATGGGATTCAGTGGGTTCTGGATGTTATGGGATGTATGCCTATGCCGAGCACTATGTGGACTGCAACAAGCTCTTCGAATCCAGCTAAGTAAATCAGGTTGAATATATTAGTACAGGGAACTTCACTTAATGTATCATTAGGCAGTAAAGTCAATTTACCACAAATAGGTATCACAGTTTAATACTTATCCGCTGAACTATGTGCATTTCATTCTGTCCACAACGTGAAACTTGTCCTGGATTCCTGTGTATTCTGTTTATCAGTATGTAGTTTTGCTTTCTTCGATGACCCACACGGGTCAATTATTAGGTTATTCTTGGGAACCAAGCATGCACAAGACCATCACATCGTCAAGGCTCCGTGATTTGTGTTTAGAAAGCTTAATGGTGGTTAAATGAAAATGGAGATTGAGATGGAAATAAATTGGTGCTTTTTTCTATGTCCTTTTATGGATTATAATCCTATTTTCTGTAGATTTGAAGTACTCCTTTCATGTATTTGATTAGTCAGGAATACGAAATGATTCTGTGCTGGGAACACAGTCATGGGCAATTATAGGTACCTTAATTTTTCATTATTATTTTTATTTTTTGGGGAATTACTTAGAACGCTCTATGAGTTCTAGAGCTTTTTATGAGTTCTAATGCTTATCAGGATATTACAAGTTTAAAGACATTAATCGGGATATTGTGGAAATACAGAATGTTGACAGTGATTGATGTTAGGTCCTGTTGGTTTGGGGGGGGGGGGGGGGGGGGATTGAACAGAACCACTCTAAATTTTAAGCTGGTTCTGTGTGTTTTGTTGTTTCGGAGATTGGGCCTTTCACCGCTTTTCTCTTTTGAACTCAGATCAATGCCTAAATCTGATCTATGAAGTCCAAGGCAGAAGACTAATTCTGCAAAAAGCTTGGTCAACCAGGTTCAAGGCAGGTTGACCAGGGCTGGTCGACTGGCCCTACCAGTAACTCCCCTGTTTTACGTTCAATGCTCTGTTTTGTCTCAAACCAATTTCTAATCAATTATAATAGGCACCAAACTTAAGTGTGTACTTGGCAACATCGTATACAACATGTATCAAATATGACCACAATTCAATAAATAAGAACTTGGTGATAATTAGCTCGTAATAATAAATTGTCATTTCAAGTTTTATACAACATGTTCACCATACATGATCCAATTTGCTTAACCAAAAAGTGCAGTAGATAATTAATATAAAATATGCAACATACAATATATAGTGGTTCGAGCCACTCTGTCTACGTCCATTCTCGAAGTGCCTTAGTGGGATCACACTACTAAATGGGATTTTCCAGTGGATTATGAAAGCGAACTGATCCACTAGGTCACCCGGTAGTCCTCGCAAGGTCTTATCTCAAGTATTTGATAAAGGTTTTTCTACCTAGGCTAACCTACAACCGGAAGCCACTCCCTACAGTAAATATACTTCACTGTCAAACTCCAATTGGTCGTACAAGCTTCTTGGTAGCTATGCCTCTAATACTAAGTGTAAATTTAGAATATACAAGTGATTTAAAACCACTTACAGTGAGAATTTGGCCATTGGATGTGATCTTTACTGTGTAGGCCAATGCCTCTGTGTTTTGAAGGGGAAATTTGGTAACCTTGCCCTCTTTCTCAGTTTCTCTCCTAAATATTCATGGAAGTATATGAGAGGATGGATCCCACAATTCATTAGCCTTCCTCTGTTGACGAAGAAGGGTATTCATAGGATGAAGGTCCAACCGCTAGCTAATGACTAGTTTTCAAAACTTGTCAGACCTGATCAACCAACTTTGAGGCTAGTCTACTGGCTTTGGTCGACCAGTATTAGGGGCTGGTCGACCAGACCTGTCCAACTGTCAGCCAACTATTGCCAACTTCAAGGATAGGTTAGGCCAGGCCAGACCTAGGGAAGCACACCTAACCTACAACTGTGATTTCTTAGACCTAGATGCAACTTCCTATGAGCTTGAAGTCTTCTAAAATTGGCAAAGTCCGACGATCAGTCAAATGCCATCTTTCTTCTTTGATGTCACTAAGAAGTCTCCAAATCTGAGGCTTGCATTAATAGCTCTTTTGAATGATGTCTTCGTCACACTACAACCTAGAGTTATAGTACAAGTCAATTTGGCGAAAAGATGTGTTTGATTAGAACTTGTAGTATATTGTTTACATTACCGAATTAGTTTTTTTCTCATTGTTATCTGTACCAAACTATATGAATTGGGATCAAGACCTCCGAATATTAGGTTGATATTTAGAATACTATTTGTATTAACAAAATCAAGGTTAAGCTATAGGAAACTACTAGCAATAACCCCATGTCTAAAGGCATTGAGTAATACAAATAAATTGCTCAGTCGTGTGGTATAAGCATATGAAATAACAATTTATTTTTTCTTCCTTTTCTATAATTACACAATTCAAAAATGAATCTTGCATCACCATTTAAAAAAAAAATTGGTAGAGGGAAGACTTTGTTTGACCTTGGTTAGCATGAAAAGGTATGGGGTGGGTTAAATTTTCAATTTTGGGAGAAATCTGGTCTTGATTAGTGTAGAAAAGTATGGGCTGATTTGGGAGAAATTTTTTTTGGTGATGATTTTAAGCCATTAGATTGAGTGAATCTCAGTAAATCTTATGCTAAGCTAAATTGGGGATTCAAAATTAGTCTTGTTTTATTATATAGATTTTTCCCTTCTTATTTTTCTTTGTTTTTTTGGGTTTTTTTTTGGGGGGTGGGGTGGGGTACTAAAAAGCAAGTTTTATAGTATTTTGGGAGCTAACTTTGAACGAGAAAGTAAAAGGATTTGATAACTAGAGTTGAGACTTGAGGATGATTTCTAAGTTTGATATTCTTCGTATGCTACCCATTAGGGGGGTTGTTAATGAGGCATTGAGATATTTGGGTGACATTCAATCTCAAAAATTTTCAAATGTGCCCAAATGAATTTTACAAGCCCTTGCATTGATGAGACATCCTCTTTCAATTTTCCATGCTCTATGAAGGACATGGGGTGATTATTTTGACTTGGGAACATATGGTAAATGGAAATAGACAAAGGAGGATTACTCTAAAAGATGCTTTCCGTAATTGAACCCTTCTGGGAGCTTACTTGCTTTATATTAATTATTGTTTGACAAAATATATTTCCTCTGATGTTGAAAAATGGAATAGAATTATTGTCTCCTCTTATAGCAAGGTTTGTACGAGGTTATGGGATTGCCATCTCCTTGTGAGGTTATAATCTCGAGGAGAGGCTTGGTTGCTAGATAGAGTAGAGGTATGTAAGGCGATGATTGATGACTAGAAAACATTGTTATATATTCATATTTTGGTTCATCCATAGTAGTAATTATATGTCAAAAGTGGAATTGGACTAGTTTCTAAGAGATTCGCTCTTTTTTTTTTTCTTTCTTAATGGTACATGTTTTGATGACCATCCAGAATTATGTAGACATTGTAGAGAGCCATTACCTTCACCGATCCCAGTGTGATCAATCTGCAATTATGTAGAGGGCCAATACCTGCACCAATTCCAGTTCACACATGATGCTAGGATGAGTAGACTGGTTACAACTTAACCTTTGGCATAATTAAGTTTGCTTTCATATCAGAATTTATGTTATGAGCCTGGGAGCCTGGCCACCTTATCCTTGAACTAAGTAATGGCTTCTTTCACCCCTTATTTAGGTAAATTACTACATCTTAAGTTGAAGTTGAATGCTGGCATAAGGTTGCACACTTTAATTGTTGAACAACTTAGGTTAATTGTTGACCAGAAAAGTTATTAGTCGCAGTTAGGATTCGGCATAAATTCAGTGTGGTATTAAATGAGAAACTCTTGTAAATTTTTAAACGTTTTAAAACTTCTCATATTCCTCATTTGTAGGAGGGAGAAGTAGTTTTGGGTTTATATATGATTACTTGTTTTGGCCCACATATTTGGTTGGGCCCAGTTTTAGGGCTCACCCTGTGCACACTTGTGCACAGCTTGTTCGTTCGATAGGTAGTGTGATGAGATACAGGGTGGTTGCGTTTGAGAGGTCCCGAATTTTGCTGGATGTTTATTTCATATTTCAGTTTTAGGTTCAGATTTCTGTTACAAACTTTTAATGGGCCGTTTACATTCATAATTTGAGGTTTACGATTGTTTTTTATGGGCTGGATTGTTATATATCTGTTTTTATGAGTTAAATTGTTATAGACTTAATGGACGTTAAGAGCTTGGGAGTTACTAGTCATTTGGGCCTTTAAAGCTCGTGATTGTTCCCCTTGTCTGTAATAGAAATAGGAAGCACACTTACGGATATGCAATACAAGATACACATATGGTACAACACACGACAAAATGTTAAAGAAAAAGGATACAGACATGGACTTTTCACTATTATATACCTTTTTATATTACTATTATATGAATTTTTTTACTTTCAAAAAGTATAGATCATCTCATTTATAGTATATGCACAAAGTGAATGTGAAACTAAAGGTATCAAAGCCAACATTTGTTAGTCGGTTTGCTTAGATGTACTTGTTAACCCATTTTGTGCTCTATAGACATGTTATCTTCGATAATAATTAAGAAACATCCATGTGTCTTCAAAGTCAAAACGAATTTTTTGTTCGTGTGTTTTATTGCAAGTGAATTCAAGAGGAAACGATAAAAATCAAAATTGAGAATCATATATATTGCTATGTGCTTCAAATTGAATATCTGAAGCATATTTGTATTGGATACCTGTCTGCCAAGTATCGAGGTATTTTATTTATTATTGGATATATATGATGTGTATCCGATATGCATCCTTGAGTATCCTTATAATACATGTACGGCGACCTTAATGGAGTATCCACACATCACAGGTAACAACAGGCCTACCAATGCCAGACAAATTCATAACTCCAAATCTAGCTTCTACTCTCTAGGTTTAACTTTGATTCGAGGTAGATTCATTCTTATCTTCTAGTGTATGTGAACAGTGAGGCGATGTTGTTGTGGTCGTTTGGGTTGGATCCTGGAATCATTGTTATATGTGGAGAAGAATAGCTCCTTTAGGATAGCAGCTATGGACCTTGCAGATTCACAACCCATCTCTTTGCAGTTTATTTCAAGGATTATATATTTTTCAAAATCACATGCATTGTCATCTCTTTCATGTATGATGTTAACTTTGTATGTTATGATATTATATTTGCTAGTTGAGTTTTGCCTGCTGTTTTTGTAAGTTAGTGTTGATGCTTACATGCTTTTATAAAATTTTGTGTTTGAGCATTCTGGTTTTCTTATTTATTGAGTTTCATATAAATCTTAAAAAAATATATCCTACAGGCTCCAGTTCAATCGGTTCTGAAGTTCGGGGTTTGGGATTGGGGCAAGAATATTTGAGAATACAGAAAATTCGTCTAGAAATCTTAAACAGTCTTTAGAAGGGAAAATCATTAATGAAAAGAAGGATTTGGTACCAGACAGAGCCAATATAAATATCTGTTTTTAAAGCTAATTATTTCAAGGATTTGTAACAACAGCCTCTTTCATCTTCATGTTCCACAATCAGAGTGCTACAAATTTTTTGGAACTCTTCCCAATTGCAATTTCTTTCATGTTGAAACATAGGTGGCCCGTATTCTTCTATTAGAGGGGAAAACACATGATGTGATCTATGAACTTTCTGAAACTGGGGGGCCAAGTGACTAAATTATTTTCATGAGATCGAATCCTACAGTTAATTTGTTCATGGTGTTATTAGGTTCTTTACTGTTATATATTGTGGCCATATGCTTGAATTTCTACCTTCTTGTATCCCTTCATATGAAGACTCGTGTCGAATAAACTAGTAAAGCCACACGTCTACATATTTATGGTGTTTTGATTTGCTAATGATCGTTTACTCGTGCAGAGAATTTCTGTGGAGCTGATTCTGGTGATGTAACCAGTGCCAGTGAGTCTACCTCGAAGGCTGCCACATTTTCAAAAGTCGGTACGGACTCAATTAAGAGAAGGAGTCCTCTTTCTGTTAGAAAAGATGGTCACAATTATGTGGAAAATCCTCAGCATTCCAGAGCAAAGGGTTGGCACATAGAGATCGCAGTTCCAAAAAGCCATGATATTTCTTTAGCAGATCGTGAAGAATCTGAGGATAGTTCTATGAGTATCGCAGCAAAGACATTGGAAAAAATGACAAGTACTGAAGCTGTTGGGTTTGAATATGTGCCAATGGATGGGAAACAGGAATACTCTTCTGTCTCTAATGTTGTCACTGATAAGTTTGAAACTAAGTTGGAGGCGGTTTCTCCTAGCTGTCTTGGGTGTAGTGGTTCTGTAAAGCGTGTGGGAACAATTCAGCTGTTTCCAGCTGAAGAAATTAGTACTGAAGAACAGAGATACTTAGCAAAGCTGCCAGATCGTAGGAGCCTTGATTCCACTATAACAGAATCGAGTTCTCGAACCATGCATGGCTGTTGTTTGCAAACAACAGATGAAATAGTTTCCATCCGAAAGCAGCTTTTGGGCATTGAAAATAAGCAGTCAAACTTGCTGGACTTGTTAAAGGTAAGTGCTTTGGTTTCTTGGATGTTTTAGAGGTTCAGAACTACATTATTGAGCATATCTTTCAATGAAAAAAAATGTCATATAATTTTGTTGCTGTGATAGGAAACACAAATGTTATTATAATTATGAAGGAAGTAGTACAAAGTGAAAGCACCGATGGACAAGTCGTCTATCCAAGATGCTAAACCACAAAAGAGCACTCATAAAAGCAAAAAACAAAAATATAGCAATTATAAAAGTCACAAGCACCAATCCAATCGAAGTAGATCCGATTCTCATACTTATCCTCGAAAGTTCTTGCATTTCTCTCCAACCAAATCACCCAAACTTTGGCAAATAATGCACATTCCCAAAGAGTAACTCCTTTGCTCTTCGTCCCGAAGCCGTTAAAATCCACACAACAAACAGCGTTGATATAGAACTTTGATTCATCCAAAAATGCCCTACTATCACGGATGGTTCACATTTTCATAATCCTCCTTACACATCACACATCATTGTGGGTGGAGGAACTTCTTAGGTCTCATTTTTTGAAGCAACTCATTGGTGTTGATCTTTCCATGAGTAAAAACCCATGCACAAACTTGAACTTTCAAAGACATTTTGGCCTACCAAATCTTCAATGATGGATAAAATATTGGAAGAGAAGTGTCATCAATCAAGGAATTAAAAAAGGATTTCCAAGAGAACAAGCCCGTTGAATCAAGGGTCGAACTTCTTTTATCCACTAACACGATGAAAAGTAGTAGTACCAAGCAAGGAAGAAAAGAAATCAATTCTACAAGTTCCCTATCGTTAAAACTCCTAATAAACCCAAAATCCTATAATGCTGGATGAGAAAAGATGTAATTGAGGCAATATGGACATAATGATAGATATGAAAGGCTATAAACCCAAAGATAAGAACATGCTAAAGAAGATTCCCCAACGCAAAAATCCTTCTAAGGGTGTACTCTCTCCCCTTAACACAAAATATAAATCCTTGAGAAAAGGAAGGTAAATTCTGACAAATACATTGCCACAACTTTAAGAATCTACCCCTATGAACCCCATTAGTATCCCATTCATTGATATGTAAACCATACTTGCTTCTACTAGCCAAACGCTGCAATGAATTTTTCTCCAACGGAGATCTCCAAAGTCATTTCTCAACAAAGTTATATTTCTACCATTTAAATTGCCCATCACAAGCCTAACTTTAAGTCTAGGCCTCGACACAGGCACTACCTCCCTACTAATCAAGTGATCTTTCCTACCTTCAACTATCCTCCCATAAAAAATTCTCTCATAGTCTCTCTTTAATCTTCATAGCCACCCAAGTTGGGAAAGATTCATGCTATATTTTCGTAGGTACTAATTTTTGTAGAATCATATGCGTAGGTCTCTACATCATGCTATATTTGTTATTGAGGTTCCCAATTTTGAGCATCACATGAAAATGTTTGCTCAGCAGTGAACAAGTTAAAAGGAGAGAACTTAAGGGACATAAAGCATTTGGGATGCCAGTGATTTTGGGAAACTGTGATTTGAATCAAACTCATAAATTTTTGAGTTGATTTGCTCTATTTGGATACATTCCCTGTTTTGTTTGGCCCTACATATGATTACCTTCAAAAAAAGAAAGATAAGGCCATTAAGACTTTATTATGTGGTAGGTGGTTTTTCGGGGTGTTAGTCCCATTTAAATCTGATTCTTACTTTTCGTGAGGTTGTTTCATTAATGTAAATACTTTTTGTCTTTGAGCATTCGAATGTCACATCATGGAATATTTAGCTCCTTATTTCGTAACAAATTGATTATTCAGGTGTTTACGACCAACACAATGGATTGTTTGTCAATGATACAATTGAAGGTGTCAAGTTTAGAGCATGTTGTAGATAGGCTGGCACAAGAAGTTGTTAATGTAGGGAGCTATTCTGATCTAGCAACTGCCAAACTTTTGAAGAAGAGCCCCAATGTTGCTTCTCCTAGACTCTCTACATACACTCCAAGGCCACCGGTAGATGTGCGTAATAGAAAGCCTCTGCTTATGCAGATGAAAAATGCAGAGATTTGGGAGGAAAAAGCATTTTCTAGGAGCAGATCAAGCAGTTCTAGCACTGGTGTAGACATGTGGACAGATCCCACAGTAAGGCTAAGTAGAAATCCCATTGGGCAGAATTGCTCTGGGCAGGGAACGAATAGTAGTCAAACAAGAAAAGCTGATGTTGTTCTTGGTTCAGCTTTTACTACTAGTGAGAGAAAAATTAATTCAGAATCCAAGAATAACTTGTGGAAACTTGTAAAAGGTTATATATCAGAAGGGGATCTAGACTCTGCATATGTGGAGGCTCTATGTTTGGGTGATGATATTGTTTTGATTGAACTTCTCGACAGAACAGGTCCTGTTCTGGAAAATTTATCACATCAGACTGCCAGTGACGTTCTTAGTACTTTGGCGTCGTACCTCCTGGAACAAAGATTTATGAATTCTATAATCCCTTGGCTGCAGCAGGCAAGTTTCTCTCTTTCCCTTCTCTTTCTTTCACTAGTATACTTTCTGTCTTTTGGAGGCATATTGCCAAACATAATTAGTGCTTAGATCTAGATGGTGCAGTGCAATGTTGGAGGAATAAAGCTCTTAGCAAGGGTGAGAGCAAAACTCATGCACCCATGAAATTTTCTACTTCTGCACACCTCTGGGCCTTAGCATAACTACCCGGACACACCTCTTCTCGGTTTCTGACCAAGCAACCCTACTAATGTTTGACTAAATTATGAGAGTTTGGCATAATAATATTTTGTTCAATTTTGCTTTATTGATCGTGGTACATAAAAGGAAATAAAAGTAACTAGTGAAACAACAATTACTATTGAAGCCATTACATCTCTTTCCTGCTGCATTTGATATTATGTCTTTCTATTGCTGATGTTCTTTATGCTACCAATGCCACTTTGTAATTAAGTTACCTAATAAATTTATAAGCTTGATTCATTGCTAATTTGTTAGCACAACTTGCCCTGAGTAGCTTAGCATTTTTCTTTCGATAACAAACGGTAATTTTATCAATAATAAAAGGGAAAAGTTTTATAAAGATTAGTCAAAGTTGGGCAAGTCACCCAACCCAATAATGGGTAACAATCCATAATGAGTAGCTTAATTATGCCCAACGACTGCATAATGATAAGAAAATCAATAGACTTCACGGTACAACCCAACTTGACTTTGATGACCCCCCACCCCACCCCCAAAAAAAGGAAGAAAAAAGAAAATGTAAGCACTAATTTTCTTCTATTTTTGCCGAGAATTTTTATTGAATTAACTCTATCATTATGTTGTTATCATGACTGTTTCCAATATTTACAAATTACAATCAAATAGACTTCATAACTAGGAAGGCACATTTGCATATTTCTAGGAAAATGAAGTAGCAGTACACTCTGTTTTAGTATATCATTGGTTTTCATGAATGGGCCACTGAATAAAGTGTGTTCTACCAACAATATTGAAAGATTGTTATTTATCAACCCCAAACCAGTCTTCCAGTTTTGATAGCTCCCATATCCTTTTCGGTGATAAATATATAATTGTTATTTAGCACTAAGGATAGAAAAGGTTTACCTTAAAAAGCTACTATGGAGTTTCTGAAGGTGTAATAGTGGTTATATATATAGTTCACGCTAGGTGATTGCCAAGGCTGCCAACATGATAATTGTTTAAGCATTTTTGACAAATTGTATCAGGGCACAATAGCTTAAGAGATATTGTTGTGGGTTATAATTCCACAATTACTTGTTTGAGAGTTTTTTTTCATAATAATAGGAATGAAAAAGTTATGCTTGGTAATTACAATCCAAACTCCAGTTTGGGCTAGAAAAGGGAGGCAGTTTTCATAAGTAGTCGTTGGGGGGAGATGGGCTCTTTTCGGTCAAGCAATGTCTCTGATTTTTTGTATGGTTTTATTGATGAAATATTGGTTAGGTTCTACCGCTATCCCATTAATGACCTTAAAACCATATGTATAAACGATTTAGAGAAAATTATTATTTTTGCTTTTTTTGAAGGATTATCTGTTTTAGTCTAGAAGAATTAGGTTTCCTATTCTATATCAACTTTAGGTTTCTTAATTTTTTTTGGTCTCTTTCGATAGGGTTGTAGGTGATAAGGACAAGGATCTTTTGGTTATCATTCAATAAGATTTCAGATTTTTTCCTCCTATCTCCCTTGTGGATTCAAGGTTATGTGAGTTTTTTTTTTGGGTAAATTGAGGTTGTGTGTGATTATTCTTCCACACAGAAATGTGTTCCTGCTGTGTTTGTTACTGGTGTGTCAGAGCTTAATCCTCAGGATCATGTTTCCACCGGCCTTTAATCAATTCATTATCACAGATGGAGCATTTTGCCATGGATCAGGTTCATTCAATCTTATACATTGGAATGCATTCATGCATTCACACCCGCCGATCACAAATATTTTTTATTTTGGATTTGACAGTACATAATCTTTGATGAAGTTTCAGAACTGAATGTAAGTCATTTAGTTTCGTTTACTTGTAGTGCATTTTATCTGATGGCTAGCACCTTCCCAAATCTCCATAGATAACGAGATATGTTGTCTTTTCTGATTAGCGCCCCATGAAGCTGTACAAATCAATGTTTGTAGTGAATGTCTGTTGAAAAACTATTACTATGTGTGTTATCCTTAGGTGGTGGACTTGAGCACTATTCATGGACCAAATTACCTTGTTCTTTCTGGAAAAGCAAGGCGAGAATTCTTGGTTGCAATTCAGGAAGCCGTGAAAATGGAGTACTCTAATCCTGCTGAGAGATCACGTGTGACACAGCTAGCAATGAAATTGCATCGAATCTGGGGTGAGGCTTTTTTTGAATGTTGAATTGTTTTATTTAAGTACTACATGAATTCAATGTATAAATTTTTCTCGAAGTTCTCCCTGGTCACAATGTGAAAAGAGCTACTGGGTTTCAAGATATCTGGAATGTTTGCAGGGGCAAGAACTTGGATGTGTCATTATTGAATGGAATCTTCAAATTTTGAAATTCGTAACATATTATTGCATGAGCCCGATTTCTTGACTTCACTGTTATGAGGAATCTCATATGATGATTCTGGAATCAAGGTTTTAGAAGATACATTTGTTGTTTAGAGACATTGTTATTGGTTGGGACAAAGAAATCCTATAGTTTTGTGACCTTGATTTTTTTGTCCTTATGCAATTTACATTTGATGCATCAATGGTGCTATTGCATGCATTGTAGTTAGGGTCACTCATATCTAGGCATTTTAGGTTTGTCACTAATCACACAAACAGCTTAAGATGCAGAAAATAACACTGATTTCCCCCAAGGTTTGTCACTAGATAACAATGAACCCCATTTTGTTACTCTCCATTTCCAAGTCTATGAATTTCAAATCATATTATCACATTATATTATAAATCCTCCAATTTGCATTGCAACCCATCATCTGATACACCTATTTATCCACTTTGGATTTGTACAAGTATAGCACCACAAGTTCTCGACCACCACTACTAGGCCATCCCCCAACCCCACACACCATGCACAAGCCACATCTGTTGGTCACCACCCCAAGAAACAACCACCCAAACCAATCTCCAACCATCTAAAGTCAGTCCCACCTCCAACAATCCAAAATTAACCCTAGTCCACTCACCCAATATCCAAACTATGGCCATTGCTTTCATTGGACGTTCATCAACACTAATAAGAGAGAGGATAGAGAAATGAATAATTATTCGTAGCCAATGTCCTATTGCTGTTGTTGTCGTCGACCATCATCACATCTCCTTAAATACGGTTATGGCAGCCCAGCCCTTAGAAATCATATATCAATGGCAAGGTGGTTGACGAAAATGATCATAGAGTTTGTATTCTTTTGTTGATACTAGTTAATTTTGGGTGTTCATGAAGTGAATTAATGGTGGGTTACAGTGAGGGATTGAAACTGATGGTGGTATAGTGTTGAAAACGTAAAATGGTGATCAACATTCTCAACGAGGGGTGTTGTGTACTGATGGTGCCGTGTTGGTTTGAGTGTTGCATGGATAAATGGAGGGGGGGTCAGTTGTGGTTGGTTGGGCAGTTTTTTTGTGAGTGTGTGTGAGAGAAAGAGAGAAGGATTGGGTTTTAGAAGAAACAACTATTCAAGCGCATTTGGATGTAGGTTGGGGTGTTTGGTTTGAAGTATGTCAATTACGGGTAGAATTATATAATGTATGGTGATAAGTTTGATTTTGTAAGGTTTAAGAGTATTAGGGGAGTTAAAATAGTATATAGAGTATTAGTGTTTGGGAGAAAAAGGAGAAAAAGAGAAAAAGAAAAGAGAGAAAGAGAATAATCTGTATATAGGTTGTGTTGCCCCCTACACCTTTTATTTATAATAAGTTGATATTGTAGGTAATTACAATATTACCTTACACTAATGATATTATAACAAATAAGAACTCCAACATTCACCCTCAAGTTGAAACAGAAAGATAAAAAATTCATAGTTTGGAGCAAAGATTATTGAAGACAGATCAATCCAAAGGTTTGGTAAGGATGTCACCAGCTGATCACTCGGCTTGATGTATGGTGAGATAATCTCCTTTCACATCATAGTGCATCTCTATGGGTGAGGACATATAGATGCTCATATCTTGCAATAGGGAACGAACCCATAACATTTCACATGCAATATGAGCCATGTCAGGTATTCAAAGATTTCTTTAATCGACATACACTCTTACTATACTCCCCCTGAGTAGTAAACCCAGGTGGCTGCTCCATGTATACCTCTTCAACCAAGTTACCATGTAGGGAGACATTCTTGATGTCTAACTGAAACAAGGGCCAATCAAGATTAGCAGCCAAAGAAATGAAGATATGAACAGAGAAAATTTTGGCAACAGGAAAAAAAGTCTTTTCATAATCAACACCATAAGTCTGAGTAAAACCCTTTGCAACAAGTCGGGCTTTGAGACGCTCAATAGAACTATCTAGACGAAATTTAACAGTATACACCTAACGATAGCCAACAATTCGTTTACTAGGGGGTAAAGGAACAAGATCCCAAGTCTCATTATGATGTAAAACATCTATTTCCTCCTCCATAGCTTTTTTCCAACCCGGATAAGATAATGCATCCAGTAAATGCTTAGGAATAGATATAGCAGATAATTGAGAAGTAAAACAGGAGAAGACAGGAGACAAGACATCATATGAAACAAAATGAGAAATGAGATGATGAATAATACACGAACGAATATCTTTACGAAGAGCAATAGGTAGAGAGTTTAAATTACCTGATGTACCAGGATCAGAAGGCGGCAAGGAAGACAGTACGGGTACCTCAGTCGATGGGCGAGGACGGCGAGAGTAGACACGGAGAGATAAAGTAGATGGTAACACAGTGAGCAGCGGAATATCTGAAGATGAGGGAAAAGATGGTGGTACAAGAGATGACCCAAAGTCCAGATCCAAGGTTGAGAAGGTGCTAAAAAGTATGGAACAGATTCCTCAAATGTGATATCGGCACTAGTAAAGCATCGTCGCAGAGAAGGACTGTAGCAATGGCACCCCTTTTTGTGTGCGGGAATAACCAAGAAATACACATTTGGTAGCTCGAGGGTCAAGTTATTCAAACCCAAGACCTAAATTGTGAACATAACAGACACATCCAAAAATCTTAGGAGTTAGGAAAAATAAGGACTTACTAGGAAAAATGACAGAATATGGACTTTGCCTATTTAACACAGAGGATGACATACGATTAATAAGGTGACAAGTAGTAAGAACAGCATCACTTCAAAAATATCAGAGAATATTCATCTAAAATAACAGGGCATAGGTGACTTTCAACAAATGACGATTTTTGCGTTTAGCAACACCATTTTGTGGAGATGTGCAAGCACAAGAAGTTTGATAAATAATGTCAGTTTTACTAAGATAAGCTGAAAAAGGATCAGATTCATGTTTTCGATTATTATCAGAACGTAAAATACAGATACGACAACCATACTGAGTTTTTATTTCTTTACGAAAGGTCTCAAAAATAGAGAATAATTCAGACCGAACTTTCATCAGAAACAATCAAGTCACACGAGAATAGTTATCCACAAACGACACAAAATAAGGGTATTTATTAGATAAAATATTCTTTATTAGATCCCATACATCAGAATGTACCAACTCAAATGGACTAGACACGCGATTATTGACTCTAGACTAAAATGACACACGATGATGTTTACTAAGTTGACAAGCTTCACAAAACAAAGACGACACAACTAAGACTGAAAACTTGGCGTTTCAGATTCTGAAGAGAGGGATGTCCAAGATGACAATGCCACTGAAAAGGAGACAGCGAGGTTTGTAAAGCCCGAGTAGGTAAATCAAAATCAAAGTAATATAATCTACTAGCTTCATGCTCCGTACCAATCTTTCTCTTCGTCTTGAGATCTTGAAAGACACTATAAGAGGGATAAAAAATTACAGAACAATTGAAAGAACGGGTAATTTTGCTAATGGAGAATAAACTAAAAGGAAACTGAAGAACAAATAATACGGAAGATAGGGACATATCAGGACTCAAGTTAGTAGTCCTCAACTTGAAACTTGAGAACAAGTATCATTAGCAAGAGTAACACTACGTGTGGAAGTGGCAGACTGATAAGTAGAAAAAATATCAGACACACCAGTCATGTGATCAGAAGCGTCAGAGTCTATGATCTAGGGACTAAGATTGAAGGACAATAAACAAGTGGAAGCATTACCTGACTATGCAAAAGTAGTAGTGGAGGGAGATAAGACAATCTATTGCTGGGACTGGAACTGAGCATATTCCTCTCGTGTAATAGTAATCAACCTCGTGTCTTGCTTGAGTTTCATAAGTGCAGCAAATAGAAAAGAGAAATCACTAGATCACTGAACCGGACAAGAATTACCTACTGCATTGTTGAACCGAAGAAGAAAAGGTTGCTGGATCACCAAATTGGACTGGAAAATCTCATTGGAACGTTGAACCGGATCAGTTAAGTCCACTGGACCGTTGAACCGGATCAGTTAAGTCCACTGGACCGTTGAACCGGAGAAGAAAAGGCTACTAAATCACTGAACTGGAGCAGAAAAGCTAATTGGATCACTGAATCGGGCCAGTTTGGCTTGTTGGATCATTGAACCGGGCCGGTTTGACTTGTTGGAGCACTGAACTGGGCCGGTTTTACTTGCTGAAGCACTAAACCGGGTCGATTTTACTTGTTGGAGCACTGAACCCAAGTCAAAACTGTTTGAACCGGTTTGAAACACAGACGGGGGGCTGAATCAGCACCAAACTAGGGTTGGGTCAGATCTGGGTTAACCCAAAATGGGTCGGTTTGGGGCTCTGTCTTCTTCGTTGGTTAGGATTCCAGAGAATCCTCTGCTGCAACTGCACCTCACCACCAACGACGAACAACAAGCCACCACAATAGCCACACCACAGACGAGGATAATCAATCATAACACAGTGAACAACGACGAAATTCGACAACACAACGAATTTAGACAACATCCCCACAGACCACCAACGAATTTCAACAACACCACAACAGACCACCACCGACAACCACAACACAGTGAAAGTCCACAACACCACCATACACAGTGAACGACAAACACAATACCACACTATCACCAACAACGGCAAACAGTACACAGAGGTACAACAACCATATCACTACCATCACCGCTGTAGCTTCAACGATCAACAGTACCACCGAAACAAATCAAGTTAATTTATTTTTGAAATATATTTAGGATTAAACTCGGCTCTGATACCATGTTAAGTTTAGAGAATTAACACAATATTAGAGAGAAAATAGAGTGGTTAAAACTGCACCTAGCTCTCATACATCACTTGTATTTATAGTTAACCTACAACAATAAGAATTACACATACACCCTCTTACTATTAACAATTTATACATACTACCTTACTATTCTTAACAGATTGAATGAAGACATAGCCAATGGAGTTGAATTGCAGCATTATGTGGAGATAAAGGACATAGTGCACATGGCTAAAAAGGTGGAGAGGTAGTTAAAGAGCAAAGGGACAACAAGGTACACTTCGGGTTCTAACACTACTTGGAAATCAAAGTGGAATAGGAATGACCCAATTGATGTAAAATGATGGGAACCCCAATTGATGTGCTTTGAGACCCAACCACAATATTGGAAAAACAACCCAAGAAAGTCAAATTCAAGTCTATGGATGGAAAATCTAGACCCATTGAGAACTCATTTTAAGAACCTAGATTATATTAAAATTTAGAGCCGTTGAAGAACCCGTCTCAAGAACCTAAATTACAAGGAGGAACGCCACAAATGTTGTGATTTATTTTTTGATAAGTTCAAAAGTTCAATCAAGAACAAGAGGAGTAAATTCAACTCACAATTAAAATTCAATATTGTCTATCCTCTTGAAGTGGCCGGTTATATCCTTTAAATACCCTTCCCAAAACATGATAAAATCCTAGATTAAAATTTGTGATCCTTTCTCTCAAAAATGCCCTTGAGTGAATAGTATCGCGGGTATTGTAGCGTGAACAATGTCGTGCTACAGTAACTTCAATATGACATATGTGGGCTAAGCATCTTCAAGCCTACTTATTCTAAGGTAATAATAAAAATCTTTTAAACAAATTGAGAGCCTTAACAACAACAGGCACTATCTCTAAGTCATGTCTTCTACAACTTGGATCAAGTGGATCAAAACTAGTTCTCCTCCTTTCAAGCCCATCTTGAGTGTTGGGCTCTTGCTAGTTTCATCCTAGGTGGATTGCACTAATCCTTGCATTGCTTCCTTGATCTTCTTAGTTCTTGATCTTGTAATTGACCCATTTGGAATTTGCAAAGGATCTTTAAGTGTAGGTCCATCTTGGTTCCCATCACAATATATGGTGGTGTTTACGTTTGGCAACACCAATTTGTTGCAAAATTGCATAAAGAATTGAACATATTCAAGAGTATTGTCAGAACAAAATATTTTAACACATTTATCGAACTTACCAAAATTTCATTACAAAAGGTGACAAATACCTTAGCCACTTCATAAAAAATAACTACGTCGTACAAGAGAAATCATTAATAAATATCTTAAAACACGGAAAATCAAAAATATTCTTTATTGTTGTAGGACCCCAAAAATTTGAGTAAATAGTATCAAATGGACGAGACTAATGATTTTCATTATTACTAGGAAAAGATTTACGATGATGCTTGCCCAATTGGCAAGCCTCATATTCTAACATAAGAGAAAGACCCAAACTAGGAGTAATATGACGAAGCTTTGCAATGAAGGGTGACCCAAATGAAAATGCCACTGAAGTGGAGATATTGTGGAGCTCAAGGTAGGTATTGAATCTCTAGAGTTCAAATAATAAAGGCCATTCTGGTCATGCTTCGAACCAATCACCTTCGCTTGGAGGTCGTGAAAGACACACGAAGATGAAGAAAATGTAATTGATCACTGTAAAGATTTAGTCGGGTGACTCATAGATACTATGTTAATGGAAAAATAAGGAACAAATAAGTTAAGATATTAAGGGCATAGATTGAGTGGAGTGAAGGTCCCTAATCTCATGCCCTGATTGAAAATAATCATCATCTAATACAATACAAGAATTAAATGATTGAAATTTCAAAAATAAGAAGGAAATACTAGACATGTGAGCACTAGCTCTTGAATCAATAACCTAAGATGGTGAGTTTGATTGGGATACCACATGTGCAAAATTACCTACATTAACCAAACTACCAGTTGAGGTAGAGAAGTGGGGGGCAAATGAGGATAATTGTTGAATAAGCTTATTGAGTGAAGAAGTAAGGGCATCATGAGCACCAGATATAGATTCAGTAGATGTAGGAGTAGAGTTCAGAGATACTGGTGGAGCTGAGTCATCAAATGCTTGGTTAGCATAGATTGGGGTCTTATACTTATCCCAACAATAATACTTAAGTATGTCATGTGGCTATACACTAAGAACACTTCCACTAGAAGTGATTATCACAACCATTGCAATCACCTCCATCTCCATGACCTGTGCCTGTCACCACGATTACCATAGTAGATCAGGTGACGACTACTATCCCTACGTCCACCCCGAGAAACACCATGACTACCATTACTAGAGATTAAGGTAGAAGACTCATCTGAAGCTAACAAAGTGTCACGGGTAAGAGGGGCTTGTTACATGCGAGAATAAGCAACGACAGGGATCATAAATTTCTCACTAGCCAAAATTTGATATTTAAACACACCATACTTAGAGTTAAGGCTTGACAAGAACAATACAACCTAAAACTAGTTACACTGTCACCGCTAAACTTCCAGATTTGCACTCGGTGACTAATACAGCATATGTTTCTCCCAAAATCTTTTGAAAGTGCCATTATGTTCGGCCACGAATTTATTGTTTTACTTGGTAGTAAACATACGCTCAAAGAGGTCACAAATCTAGGACACATTGTGTTATTGAGAATACATATCCTCAAGAGAGTCCCATATCTTTTTAGTTGCATCAAGAAGCTAGAACAGGCTCCATAATAACTCACAACCAAGTCATCACTAATGAATTAGTCAAATATTCCTTATGGCTCAATCAAATATTTAATTTTCTTTTTGGTATGCAAACAAACTCTGATGGCATGGAACCAATAGTGATAGTTAGTCCCATTTAATTTTACAGAAGTGATCTGTTGAATTTAATCATTCATGGAATGAAATTGTCTGTCCAGATCATCCACTGAAGCGTCCTTCATATCCTACCCACAACAATCTAAACAGTAGTAGAGAGTGAACTAAACTAATAATCCACAAAAAACCACAACTGTAATTGCACCAAAAAATCACCAAAAAACACAACCAAGAAAGGGTTCAATTCAGCGGATCAAGTAGATTTTGCCCAGAAACACCAGAAGCACAGTACCCAAAACAAAACCTTCCACCAACACATTGGTAGCCAGAAAGGACAAAACAAATGTTGGAATAGGGAAAATGACATTGAACAGTGATTTCAAGTGTAGTTCTTCACCGGTGATAGTCTTCTGGAAAAAAGTCACCCAAAAACTGACTGGGAATCCCAAATACTCCCTCCAATACCTAGTTGCACCCCTTAAGTAGGGTTTGAAGCATAAAAAACAATCACGGAGACCGGAATCAACTGATCGGAAAAGTAGGACCATATTTTCACAAAAATTATTCAAAAATAGAAAAACCTATTTACATGGCTTCAAAGAATATTACAAAATCACCACAATTACCAGCATCAATTTCCAAGCTAGAAAGGGTGTTTCGGTGATCGAGAAGAGTTGATGTCAGCCACTGACGACGACGTTAGCTATGGGAATTTTTTTTTTGAGAATCCTCTATATGTTTTTTGATGATATCTAGTCACGAATCATTTCTCTAATACCAGATTAAAACAGTAATAGTAAGAGAGTATTAGGGTTTGGGAAAAAAGATGATAAGAAGAGAAGAGGAAAAAGAGAGAAATGAAATAATTTGTGTAGGCTGTATTGTCCTACACCTCTTATTTATAATTAGTTGATATTGTGAGTAATATAATATTACCCTACACTAACAGTAATATAAGAAATTAGAACGCTATCAAGGGGTAAATTTGTCTTTTTAAGGATTCCATTGATTGTATTACTGATAATAAGAGATATTAGTGTTATTTTCTAGGAATTTGTGTGATGTAAAGACAAACTTGGTGTAGATGCAATTTACCCCAATATTTGCACTTGAAAGTTGAAAGTATAAATTTTCTTTCAGCCAATGAATTCAAAGGAGTTATCAGCATACCAAATGTTACGCCTTCCTTAAGGCCATACCGGGAAGAGAAAGACTGTTTAAAAGCCAATGCATAGCTGTAAGTGTGGTGTAGGCAAGAAGAGTCATGCTATTGGGTGTTTCCTTGATATCTATATGTTAACATCTTTCTGGGTGACGAGCACGTGCTCTTGGGGTCAGTACTTTTTCCAGGTGATCTCAAACATTAAACAAACTTTGTGGAAGTGTATCTTCTACACACCCCAAATGTTATGCAGTTCTTAAAGGGAAAAGCCTTCATGAAATTATACTGGTGCAAATATTGAAGGGTCATTGAGTGCTAAAATCTGCATTGATTTTTCATCAGCCTTCTGGGAAGAACAGAGGACTTAACAAAATGTTTGGGCTATAAATGATCGACAAAGTTGCTCAGTGACCTCTTGCTTTTATTAGCGGCTATTTGGGGAATACATTGCATACGTAAATTTCTAAATTACGGCTTCTTATTAACCTGCCAACTATACATAACTGTGTCTGCTGTTGATTTATGGCATACTCATGCATTTTGATGATCCAAAACTGTCATAAGCAGTTGTGTATTTGGTGACTGCTGTTTTCAGTTCGTAACACAATCTGCAGCTTGCAACTTTGTAATGGCCAAAAGGAGCTCCATTTTTGCAATATTTTTATCTTTTGTACAAAATATTGTGTGATCAGTGCTGGTAAGTCCCTTTCTTGGGTTATTACCGTGTTTCTTTTCCTTCTGTTTTTGAAGGCCTTGAATTAGTGATCCCCGGATGTAGCTAAAATTATCCCTTCTGTCATAAAATTGA